GATAATGCAATTGAAGACAAAGACAAACATACTTAAAGTACCAAATCCAGGGAAAAATGAACAATTTTTGGAGCGGGTCGTGATTTCGACCTGTTGAATCGAGTGGTTCGACATAAGAATTGTTGTTAGATCTGAAGCACCCATGAACAATTCATTCAATCCAAAAACATACATCAACAAATCTATTGATCCAAGTAAAATATACTCACCTGAAATCGATAGGTTAAATTCAAATCCAACAGAATTGTTCAAACATAATTCAATTTGAAAGAAGATGGAAATCACGATTTCGAAATCACGATTTCATTTCAGAATTCAAATCGTGTTCAAACAGAATTTCAATTTGAAGGGAAATCACAATTTCAGAATTCAATTTTGGAGCAGATCGTGATTTCGATCTGTTGAATCGAGTGGTTCGGGATACAAATTATAGTTAGATCTGAAGAAAATTGCCAAAATTTGAATAGCAACGAAAGCAGAACATATTTCCTCCGAATGTGAAATACAACAGAGAGAGACCAAAATTACCTTGCGAAGGGAACAACCGAGGGTGGGAGAGAGGAAACCTTGCGAGTGGTGATGATAAGCAGCGGCAAATTAACTTCAACAAAGACAGTAACGATGAACAACAGAGCTAGATTTAAGATGTATTTCGGGGAAAAAAATACAACAGAGAGAGGGAGGAGGACATGAATAGAGGTGGTCGATGGTCGCGATGGTGGTGGTCGAGAGAGAGGGAGAGAGAGATAAAGAGGAAATGGGGAGATACGTGATTTTGGTGGTTCTGTTCAAGAAGAAGAACAGAGAGGAAGAGAGATAAATAGGGAATGTGGAGAAGACGTGAGAACAGAGAGGAGAGAAAGATAAAGAGAGAAGGCAAGGAGGAGATGTGGGTATGTGGGAAGGGTAAGGCAGAGACGTGTTTAGCCAGCTGCGAGAGAGAGAGAGAGAGAGAGAGTGTGTGTTTGGGCGGGAAAAAAATTCATCAACACCGTTGGATATTGATTAGGAATTATCTCAGCCATTTAAATAAATTGTATCTCTGATACATTTTATATATTTTCAAAAATTATTCTGTCTTATTATATAGATGTTGAAGATTCATATGAGGTCTAAATATATGAAATCTATCAGATATTCAATATATTTAAAACTAATAATTAATTGTTCAAATTCATTTAATTTGTGGACTATAAAATTCATTAATTTAATCTCCAACACGCATAATAAAATCTGACTCTTAATTGTGGGATCGCAGACTTTTTCAAATAATATGAATAAAAATAAGTGAACAAAAATTAGAAAAAAAAAACAAATAGAGAAAAAAAAATGAGAGAAAATAAAAAAAATAAAAAGAAAAGAGAGATGAATGTGAGATCATGGGATCATAGAAGGATGGGTGAGAAAAAAGAAAAAGTAAGAGAGAGAAGTTGGAAAATAGAAAATGTACATGTAGGATATTTTTTGAAAAATATAACTCAGCCGTTGTTTTATAATTTGAATAGATCTGAGCCATCCAAATGTCCTAATAGGATAAATGCGTGTAGGATAAATTCAAAAATCATCCTGTTTTATTATATAAATATTGAAGATTCATATGAGGTCTAAATTTATGAAATCTATCAGGTATTCAATATATTTAAAAATAATAATTAATTATTCAAATTCATTTAATTTGTGGACTATAAAATTTATGAATTTAATCTCCACTGCACACAATAAAATCTGCCTCCTACTTCTGGGATCGTAGATTTTTTCATATAATATGAATAAAAATAAGTGAACAAAAATAACAAAATAAAAAAAAATAAATAAATAGAGAGAAAAATAAAAATGAGAGAAAATAAAAAAAAAATAGAAAGAAAAGAGAGATGAAGATGGGATCATGGGATTATAGAAAGATGGGTGAGAAAAAGAAAAAGTAAGAGAGAGAAGCGGAAAAATAGAAAATGTACATGCAGGATATTTTTTAGAAAATATATCTCAACCGTTGTTTTTTAATTTGAATATATCTGAACCGTCCAAATATCCTAGTAGAACAAATGTGTGTAAGTTAAATTCAAAAACTATCTTACTTTATTTTATATATATACATATATATATATATATATATATATGTGTGTGTGTGCGCGCGCGCGCATATCTATTATATAAAATAGGGTTATCTTTCTTGTTGAACCTTAAGAAAGTACCTTAACTAAACAGAGGCGCTATTGTAGCTCCAAAAAGGATATTGTAGTTACAATGTACATAGCCTCCGTTTAGAAAGTGGGTTGACTTTTTGTCCTTTGATTTTTTTGATTATTTTAGCTTGGGCTAAAAAGTAGGATTGAGTAAGGAATCCGTGAAATCCGTAATCCGATCCAGTCCAGTCCAATCCGATAGGTTTTGATTGGTGTTTTGAATCCGTGGTTCGGTTCCGGAATGAAGAATTAAAAATCCGTAATCCACGGATTGGTTCCGAATTGAACCCCATGGTTCCGGATTGGAACCGATCTGGACCGTATACATATAGTCTATATTTTTATTATACATCATCCCCCATAGTATCTTTTCTTATTCCATATAAAACATAAACTCAAACCTAAACCCGCATCATATCTTCTTTTATTACTTTTGTTTGTTAGTTTTTAGTTTTAATTTGTAATGGTCTAAATACTTATGGTGAAACTAATTTTCTTATGGTTGTTTAAATTCTAGAATAGTATGTCGCTATTATAGAAAGACATGTTGCTATTGTGGAACTAATATAGCGCTATGTTTATGTTTTTATGAAATTAAAGTGTTATATATATTTTTTTGTTATTTAATTATGTGAATCCGTGGTCCTAAACCGATCTAATCCGTGTTTAAATGGATTAGTTCAGATTGGTTCCATGATTTAAACGGATTGGATTGGTTCTAACTTTTCAGGAACCGTAAATAACGGATTGGCTCTGATTTTATCCCAATCCAGTCCAATCCGGACCATGCTCACCCCTACTAAAAAACTTGGTTTGGAAAGGATTTTTTAGCTTTTTGACTTTTTTAACTTTTTGGCTTTTTTTACTTTGTTTGTGAGAGAAGAGTGTAATGATTATGGGTTGGATGTGATGTTTTGTTTGTTGTGATTAAAATAGTCTATTTTGTCTTTTGTAGCTAAAATAGCCAAAAAAACTCTTGCCAAACGGAGCCCATGGCTAGAGGTTTGTTCTCTCTCAGGTTTCAAGTTTGAATCTTTTAATTAGTAAATATACATTTTGAGGTCACGGACTGCAGGGCATAAGCCTTGTTTCGGAAAGTTGGTTCAGACTGTATAGACTTTTGGTGCGCGTAAGTTGGTCTATGATGCCCTTACGCTAAGGGAATTCGAGAACAGAGTTGGAATGGTAGTATCATTCTGAAAAATGATACCGAGCAAGAATAATAGGTCAGAAGATTTGTTTGTTGGGATGTTACAACTTTTTAGCCACTTATTTCTGTCTTTAACCAGTGTATATGAATGCACAGGTTCTTGGAGTCTGAAAGTCCATGATATATACTCCACTACAGGGAAAACTGAAAGTACAATGCTAAGACTAAGAATCGAGAAAAAAATTAAGATCAAGTCCAACGAAATTGACTTTCACCAATTGTCCAATAGTGACCAAGGATAGAAAGAAGTTTCATGGTAGTAATTTTTCTTTCTCCGGCGATAAAAATTGATTCTGGAAAGACCTAAGGCCAAGTTTGGCATACTTGAAAAAAGATAAAAAGTCAAAAAGTCACTATTCTATTTAAGTCACATCACCTCTCTAACACATCACTTTAAACCCAATCCAAACCTAACCCATATTTCATAATAAGTCAAAAAGTACACTTATTTAGATCATCCCAAACAATCCCTAAGTCTTCTAATACCACAATACATGATATTATTTAATCATTTATACCAATACTAAAATGATCCAAAATTTAATAATATACAAAGGCTTTGTTTGGGATATGTTTTTTTAGCCTAACTTTTTAGTTTTTTTTGACTGTTTTAATCTGACTAAAAAAGTTTCGTTTGGAATAAACTTTTGGTTTTATTTTATTTTATTTTTATTTTTGTAATTTTATAAAAAAAAATGAAATAATTATGATTTAAATGTGATATTTTATCTTTTGCCATTTTAACTTATATTATTTTTGAATTGGTTAAATTAGGGAATGGCTTCCCTTCAGTCTGACTGGAGGGTGCTGTTGGGCCCGTGGAGCTGTTTCGATAATCCGAACCGTTCAATATGTAGAACTCGTCAAACATTATATGTCTGTAAAAAATCAAGTTGAGCGGATATCGATAACTATTTCATCAGATCAGATTTTTGTTAACTGTTTATTCTTTCATCGTCCATTTTTTCATATACAAAAATGATTTGATCACATATTTATAAATATCCAATCAATGTGATTTTTTTACAAATATTTAGTACTCGACAAGTTCTACATATTGAACAGTTGAGATTATCAAAACGAAACCCTTTGTGAGCTTGCAAGGGTCCAACAACACCCTCTAATCCTTAAAGATTAGAGAGAAGCCATTCCCTTAAATTAACCCAACTATCATGCCAAACAAAACCAAAGTTACCATTCAGTTGAATACATATGTTTCTCACCCCCTATCCCTTCTTTCTTATTCCAAAATTGAACGCCCAGACTAAGGGTTGTTTGGCTAGAACTATAAAAGTATATTTATTTATCCTTTTATTATTATTTTTTTGATCATATCATATCTTTATTTTCTTCACATCTTTTTATAAAGTGTTAAAAAATTTATTTATTTAAATAATTCCAAACAATCCTATCTCTAACATGTTTGCCCCAATCAAAGTGAATCATTTTCCATAATCCCTACCATTATTGTTTTCTATATTATATTTGTTGTCCACCCTTGCAAGTTATCTATAACAATATAAGCAGGCCTGATGCCATGGTTTCCTCTCAATAAAAACATCCCTCTCTCGGCCGACCATTTGATTCCTCTCTCTCTCAGCTTGAAAATGGAGTTTAATCAGCCAACTAAAGAAAGCCCTGACCAAATAGTATATACCTCAGATGATCACCAAGTTAGGTCATATACATGCACCTTTTGCAAAAGGGGCTTCTCAAATGCACAAGCACTTGGAGGTCACATGAACATCCATAGAAAAGATAGGGCTATACTTAAAGAATATTCCGGCGACATGACTGACAAGAAGGCTACTCCCTCTGATCATCTGATTGTCGATGAAGACGACTCGAAACTAGATGGTAGTGAAGAGAAAAGTTGCAACAGCCCTAAAAGGCCTTGGATTTTCTCTGGAGAAGATGAGGATGGTTCTAGAAGCGGAGATGGCGTCGGAGAACCACGGAAGCTGGACTTGTTTGTTGAGACACCATTGGTGAGAGATGATGCAGAGGCAAGCAGTGACGTGAGTGAGGATGTGGAGAGAAGAGAGAAATTGAGTCATGGTTCATCTAACATAGAATTGGACCTTGAGCTTCGGTTAGGGTTTGGAAGTTCATGAGACATGGACATCAGGTATAAACATGGTTTTAAATATCGGCCGATATGATATTTTGCCCTCTGATCCTATTGATACATTCCATTATATCACATTCATATCGATCGGTTTACAATTGGTTTAACTGCTGTAAAGCTCTTTTTAGCATCCTAAAATTTTAAAAAATTGATGCCATATTCTTGATACTCTTAGGCCTTGTTTTGGAACGGGCTAATTTAGTAATTTTTTGACTATTTGGTTAAAAAAGTAGGTAAAAAAAATTTATATGTTTGGGATGATTTTTTGGCTAATTACAAAAAGATATGCAAAAAGTAGAGAGAAAAGAGAATTTTTGACTTTTTGGTATGACTTGTTGGCTTTTTGGCTAAAAAGGTAACTTTTTAGCTTTTTAGCTAAAAAGATAAGTCCCCAAACGGGGCCTTAATATCGCTGTGACAGAGATAATTTATGGAAACAGCTTCCCTCCAGTTCTAGATCGGATTAGAGGGTTCTGTTAGGTTTGTAGAGGCCCACTAGAGGTCCCATTTTGATAATTCAAATCATTTAATGTATAAAATTCGTCGAATACTATATGGTTATAACAATTTACATTAATTGAATATCGATAGCTATCTCATCGGATCAATTTTCTGTCAACCCTTAATTTGTTCACCGCCTATTCTTTTATATACAAAACTGATTTGAACACATAGCTATCGATATACGATCAATGTGATTTTCTATATACACATAGTATTCGATGAGTTCTACATAGAATGGTTCAGATTATTGAAACGAAACCCGTGGTGAACTTTTACGGGCCTAAAAACACCCTCCAGTCTGATCTAAGACGGGAGGGAAGCTACTCCGATAATTTATTGGCATTCTTATTTTTAACTTCTGGTTTCTTATGTTCAGAAACACAACATTAAGAATTGCTTCTGAATGAAAAATAATGCAAAATGGTTGATATTAAAGTCAGCTTCTACTGCAACTTATGTGTTGCAAATCGAATGTTTCTACGCTTTAGTTCTCTTTATTTTTTAGGGGAATTACGATTCATTGGTTTTTTTTATAAAAAAATATTTACAGATACATGAAAAAATTTAAAATTTTAATTATTAATATTTATAAAATTTATCTCTAATTTGTAATTTTTTTTCCTTCTAAATTTACATTGAATTATAATTTTCCCTTATTTTTTTCACAGAAAAATTCCACGTCTTTCAGTTTTGTCACTCTCAACAAATTTATAAATATCCACCATTTTACTTATCATATCGGCTCTAGGTGCCAAAATTTTGAGTCCTCGAGTCAGATAGTTGTGAATATATTGTTGTGAAATGATTTCACATACATATTAGCCTATACATGTTCTAACAGTGTTACAGGGCTAGTATTCTCCGTAACAATTTTGAGTCAAATATTTTGTCATTGTGGTTTATGTGGATGATTTAAATCCCAAAGCACAAACAATGGGTAGTTTAGACGTGATTCAGTGCAATGATTTTGCAATGGTGATTTAAGATTTGTTTAAACCCCAAAACCCATTGGCCCTGTAAGATAAATTGATAGAGAGAGAATTACATAGAGAATAAATTGTATGTATTATTGATTGATGTATGTTATATATTACAACTATATATTACAAATGGTGGTGAGGGGCTCCTTATATAGGAGGATGGGTGAAGTACTAGTGAAAGGTGAACCAAGTTAGTGATAAGTCAATGATTAGTGAGCTAATATTTATCACTTCAGGAAAAATCGTCACATGAAACACAATTATGCCTAGAATAGAGTAATATGAACAAGTCATTATATAATACTCTTAATGATAAAATCAAAAAATACAAAGGAATCACTTAAGTCCAAGTAGAGGTACAGTATCACACAAGCTGAAACTTACACTATATATTGAGAGAGTAGCTTGCGATATTAACTTAAGTATTGGAGTGTTCCTGATTGATCATTCGGGCTAACAAAGACTAACGGGTTTGTGATTACACGTCATAAGAAAGCTCATTGATATTGATATTACCATTGTCATCTACTCATTCTAGTGCGGTTCAACTATTTCTCCGCCCATTAACAAATAAAGTGTGAATGTTATTTGTGCGTTTCTTTGAAAATAGGCAAAAAGACGACAACAACAAAAAAAAAAGAAAAAAAAGAAAGAGCAAGTGGGGCAATGATCATTGTTCCTGGGGAGGTGCTCCCCCTTTGCCCATTGTGGTGGACCTGTGAAACAGAGTGAGTAGATTGGAGGTTACAGAGAGAGAGAAGTAGAGCGAGAGAGACAGAGAGAGCCATGTCTTTGCTATCAGATCTCATCAACCTCAACCTTTCGGACACTACGGAGAAGGTGATTGCTGAGTACATATGGGTTGGTGGTTCTGGCATGGATCTCAGAAGCAAAGCAAGGACTCTTTCTGGACCTGTGAGTGACCCCAAGAAGCTTCCAAAGTGGAATTATGACGGATCTAGCACAGGACAAGCTCCTGGTGGTGAGCCAATTCCAACAAACAAGAGGTTCAACGCTGCAAAGATTTTCAGCCACCCTGATGTTGTAGCTGAAGAACCTTGGTATGGTATTGAGCAAGAGTACACCTTGCTCCAAAAACAAGTTAAGTGGTCGCTTGGCTGGCCGCTTGGAGGTTTTCCAGAACCTCAGGGACCATACTATTGTGGTATTGGTGTTGACAAAGCTTATGGACGCGATATCGTGGATTCGCATTACAAGGCTGGCCTCTATGCTGGTGTAAACATAAGTGGAATAAATGGTGAAGTGATGCCTGGCCAGTGGGAGTTTCAAGTTGGACCTTCTGTTGGTGGACTGGCGATCGAAGAGGATCGATGGAGCGACATCGGATGAAGATAAAGTTACGCCTGTTTACAAAATGGAGGAAATTTGCGAGCTTCTTCGATCTACAAGAGATGTACTGCAGGTTTTCCTTGTGGAGGCCTCAAAGTTGGATGCATTGGCTTTAAGTCATGCCCTTGAATCAAAACTCCTCTCTTCTTTGTGGCAGGTCCGTGTGAAGGCTACCTGTGTTCTGGAGGCAATTTTGAGGAAAAAAGATGTTGAGCTGCATGAGAATCTCTTGTCCCTTTACAACAATGATGCGTCTGAAGGTCCAGCTCACCCAAGAATCAATAGCTCTGCATGAGATGGTTTCTGCCAGTGGTGGAGATCCAGGGGAGGGCATGGAGAAGATGTCAATGCTACTGAAGAAAATTAAGGAAATTTGGGTTTGCCCGGCGGGCGGCCAAGGCGAGATTGCCGCCCGCCGGTGAAACGAAATTACTAGGTTCTTAACCTAGCTCTGATACCATGTAAGATAAATTGATAGAGAGAGAATTACATAGAGAATAAATTGTATGTATTGTTGATTGATGTATGTTATATATTACAACTATATATTACAAATGGTGGTGAGGGGCTCCTTATATAGGAGATGTAGTGGAGTAGGTGGTAGTGGTAGGTGGTAGGTGGAGTGGGTTAGGTTTAGTGGAGTAGAGGTGGTAGGTGGAGTGGGTTAGGTTTAGTGGAGTAGGTTTAACAGGCCCTGTTTGATTACGCGATTAGTTATCCAGCTGGATAATAAAATAAATAATTTCTTCTTGTCCACATTTTATTTTGCTTTGATATAGAAATATTTAATTCTAATTATTTGTTGGTTTTGCATTATTAGTTGGAGAATTAAAAAATTCATTAATTTTGTTGAATAGAATGTTCATTAGAATTTAATCTGAATAACAAAAATTAAAATCAAATATTGAAATGTGAAATCCAAAAGTTAAAAATTTCAATTTTACATCATAATCTATCCAATCAAAAAGTCTATTGAGTTTTAAATAAATATTATAAAATTATCACGGACAATACTAATTAGTCCTAAGATCGTTAAATTGTTTTAGGTAAATTATATATATAGTCACTGTAATTTATACGATATTTTAATTTAATTCTTATTATTTTAATTTGTTCAATTTTGTTCCTTAATTTAGTGGATTGTATTATTTTAGTCCAATAAATAACGGTTGTTAAGTTTGGTAGACAAAAAATCAAATTATGTGTCAATTTGGTCCTTGCAATTTACACAACATGTCAATTTGGTCCCTATCAAAATTGAGCAAATTAAAACAACAAAGATCAAATTGACACATTATGTAAATTACATGGACTAAATTGACACATTGTGTAGACTTTCCGTCCATTAAACTTAACAACTGGTATTTATTAAACTAAAATTACGCTATCTATTAAATTAAGGAATAAAATTAAATAATTTATAATAACAAATATTAAATTAACACATTATATGACCATTTGCAGAATTTGCGATTGTTTTTAACTTTTTGTCTCTACGCTTAGTTCTTTGGATTGCTTTTGAGATCTTGTGTTGAAAAATGGAGTTCAACTTTTGGCCTCTACGCTTTGTTCTTTGGATCGCTTTTTAGATATTGTGTTGAAAAATGGAGCTCAATTTACGTATACAAACTGGGGAGAGAAAATAGAAAGACGACACTAATGTACTTTCGTTAGTGTCTAGAGTACATAGATATATATAGGCCTGAAAACATGTATCTAGCTATGAGATATTTATGAGGTACATTATAAGAAATATTATGCTATTTTACGGTGTTAGAGTTATATCATTTTGTATTAGAAGTTATGAATAGACGAATTTGTAACAGTACGTGAAAATTACATATAATTGTGATTATATTCTTTATGTTATTGTGTAAATTTTATGAATTATTTGTGATGAGAAATATTACTGTGTGAGTGATTTTCTGACCACACTGCCCGCCTAGTAATCAGCTGGAGAGCACCGGCAGAATAGATGGCTTCAACAAATCTGTAACAGAAAGAAAAGGCTCCGGCGGTGACTCTTCCACCCGGGCGCATTCCGACGATCAAGTCAGTATATCTCTCAAAGATAATCAAGTGCTAAACTCACAAGTTTAAGCGTAAAACTGCGTACCTTAGACCCACGGGGTGCCTCTCTTTTATAGTTTACTTAATCCAAGTCCCACTAGAAGCCTGATTTCTATGGATTCCAATTCAATACTGACTTTGGACTCTTCAAGAGATAAAGATAAACTCCCTAAGAGTTTTATTCTTATCTTGGCTAAGTCTTCTCTTTACTCTAGGACTCTTGTCCCTTATCCGCTTATCTCGGATTCCGATATCTTCGGAGATCACCTCGGCCTCGTCAAAGATAACCTCGGCATAACTACCACGACACGTGGCACCTCGGCTGACACGTCGGCGTCACCATGCCACGTGTTGGTACTCAGAAAATATATCCCCACAACTGCCCCCTAGGTTCTATTACCTTGGCATTCTGAGGTGATGAAACCTATATCTGTATTGTTTTCTAGTACCTCGGCGTAAGAACTCTTCGGCCGAGATCATTCATGTTAAGCCGACATGTTCCCTTCGGAGAACAAGAATTCTAGTGATCCTTTTCATATGTGTGAGCTGTCATGCACCACTTTTCAACCGTTTCTCTTACGCGTCTTTACCTTACTGGTCCGTGTTTGTGACGCGCTTATAAACCACGTTTTTCCTGCGTACGCCGCCTGACGTATGCGCTGCTCCAGGCGCATTGATTATCTTTTTGCCGTCGTTTTTGGTTTTTGACAAAAACTTTTCCCCCTTTCTTTCCGTCTCTTCACTTTTGTATTTGCTGTTTCTTTCTCTAAAACTTGTTCTTTCGATTCCGCCATTGCTGAAGCTCCAAGCTTTACATTTGTCTTCCTGGTGGAACTTTCGTCATTCTGTCACATCTGTAACTACCGTTGACTTTGGCAGCCCTCACATCGGCTTCATTTTTTCTAGTAAGCAACTGTTCCTTCTGATTTCAATTCTTGACTGTTTCTGGAACCTCCCGTTATTACTGCTTTGCTCAAATATCTATCTTGCGAATCATTCATCTGAATATGTTTATTCTTTGATTTGGCCCTTGCCTATATCTTGAACACACGCACCGTTGCACCACTTCCCTGTATTTTTGCCACTGATCTTGGTCCTTTATTTCTCGTATTCTTTATGTTCTTGATAGCCCATCCCTGTTCTTGTTTCTGAAACTTCGCCTTTGTTTTCTATTTTTTGTGTCTTTGCCAGATCTCTACCTTCAATTTTTGCTTTCAATCTTTGCCTTCATAGATTTAGGTTTGGGATTTGTCTATAGAACCTATCAATTCTTAGGAAAAAACTGAAACAATCCTTACCAGCATATACCTAGGGTTTTGCCGAGGTCCTGATAACCCCTTAAGAGCACCTTCTTTCTGAAACCTAGCTCTTTGACTTTAGGCCGATGTTATGGGTATGTGGAGACATAGGGTAGATACCCCGACCAAACTTGAGTACTTTAGGCAGGAGTTTTCTATTCCCGTCGATGTCCATCTGAGGCTAGCTAAAGATAACGACACCATCATGCCCACAGATGATTCAATGCCTTTTCCCATAGTAGCTTTTACTGAGTGCGGACTCCGGCTCCCACTTAACATTCTCTTTCACGAAATTCTTCACTTTTACAATTTGAACGCTATGCAACTTGCCATAAACTCTTATCGAGTGATTTTTGGTATCATCACCTTGGCTAGACAAGAAAACGTTAGAATCACCCTAGCCGATATACAGTATTGTTACACCATGTGCCCCCTTAACTTGAAGGAAAAAGGTTTCGTCTACTACCTTAAGCCGAGGTCCACTGAATTCAAAATCGTAGCGGACCTTCTAGACTCCAACAAGGGGGCTGGAGATGATTATGTTATCGCTTCGGGAAACTGGGAATTTGGTGCAGATGAGGATGCCTATCTCTACCCTCTTCCCTGATTAATTAAAGAGGACAAGGGTAAGAGCCCAGTGTCAATACTTAGTTGTTTCTGTTCAAGTCTTCAATATTTTATCTGTTTCTAATGTTTGTTTCTTCTTGCAGACGTTCGCAAGCCAGCGAAAGACTTTCGCCAATCTTACGTTCCTAGCAAGGACCTAAAAAAGCTCCTGGACTTGCCTCTCCACAAAAGAAAAGCACCTCTTCTTCTAAACTTTATTCCCATATACAAATCGATTCTACCCGACGTCCCGAAAAGAAAGAAGAAGAGCTTATCTCCTCCCTCTGCTACCACTCCACAAACCGTATCAATATCTCAGGCTGACCAAGGGTCAACCTCTGATCCAACCGATCAGCCATCAACTTCAGCTCCATACTTAATCCCAATACCAGAAAGAAAACGTCGACGACGACTTGTCAAAACTGCTGAGATGGGTCGCCTGAAGCCTGTTGCTGTGGATCTCTTAGCCGACCTACCTGCCGACGTGGATGCTGTTCCGACTCAATCCATGCCCCCACCAAAGCCAAAAAGAATCGAAAAGGCCCAGCCTAAGGCCAAAGCTACTAAGGTTGAGGCTGAGGATGCTTTGCCCATCTCACAATTGGTTGAGAGTAAAAGAACTGCTTCTGCTTCTGCAAAAAGGTCTGCTGAGACCCCACCCTCTGAGTCCACACAGTCAAAGAAGCCGAGGTCGGCCTCAGTTACTACCTCGGGGTGCAAGAAACCGGATGTCCCTTGGGCTCCCAAAATTACTTTGGAAGACAGGCCAATTATGTCCAGTGAAAGCGCCGACGACATAAATGTCGGCGTTGCCCTCAGCACGGCGTTGCTTCTTCCGGGCGACCTCGAGCGAAATGCTGAGTATAGTAAGTATGAGAATTACGCTCTAATGCTCCAGTACTCCGTTCAAGTGAGTGTTCCTGCTTGGAACTTTCTACTTTCTTTCTGTTTCATACTTAAAATATTTTCTAACACTTCTGTTTTCTTTCAGGCCATCCAGCATGCCTATTCGTTTTCAATGCAATCTTTCAAGAATCGGGAAAGGATGGCCGAGATGAAGAGGGAGTTTTCTGCTCTTCAAAAGATCAACAAAGGTCTTCAACAAAAGATGAAGAGGCTAGAAGATCAGGCCGAGGCTGCCACTAAGGTCCAACAGATGGCCGAAGAAAGAGCGGAGTCTGCTGAGGTTATCAGAAAAGTTACCGAGGCTGAAAAGAAGGAGTTCGAGTAAAAAACGGCCCAGGTTGAGAAGGAGCTTCAGAAGGCTCTGGCCATCAAAGAAGCCGAAATCAAAGAAGCTGATGAGAAGGCTTACGCCCAGGGCATGGCCGACGTCACTGAGGAATACAAACTTCAAGTCAGGCAGGCATGCAACAGGGGCTTTTCCCTTGGTTGGATGTCCCTTGCCAAAAAGCTTAACATTCCTGATGATTCGCCACTGCGCAAAGCCGACGCTATTCCTTTGCTGTTCCCTCTACCTCCTCCATCAAGTCAACCTGAAGGAGAATCTGAATCTGGGTATGAAGATGCTGATGAGGAAGATGATGAGGCTTTGGTCAGAAAATCAAAGGATGCTGATGGGGCTAAGTCCCCTCCTCAGAATGAGCAAGTCCTTGACTTGACTCATGAGGAGGATGAGGACGTTATCAAGGAGACCACTCCTGAGCAAGCATCATCTGATGTTCCTCCAGTTGATAGAAGACTTGATCAAACACTTACCGAAATTAATGCCGAGATTGCTGCAGATCAGGAAGCCGGGGTATCTCTTCAGGAGACTTCTGAGGTTCAGATCTAGCCAGTTGATGATGCTGAAAAGTCTTAACTTTCATGTTTTTTCTTTTGCACCCTTGTACTTTGTTTTGTTTTCTGGACAATGTAAGCTTCCTTTCATGGCCGATGTGCCTATTTCTGTCATTGCTGAGCAATTTGCTTTTGGTTAGGCTGAAGTGCTTTCTCGGTACACAACTGTAACTGTTTTTTTTTTTTTTCTGAATGCTTTAGTTTTTATTTTCTTTTGATTGCTTCTGCATGGTTCTATACTTAGAATATTTTGTATGCCTTTCATATTTTGCCACCTTTGTGCAATCTTCTCGGGGTTACATATCTCGGGTATAATAACTACAAGCTTTACTTCGGCAAGATACTGACCTGCAAACTTTTCATGAATTTCAACAAGTATATACTATTCAATGCTATCTTTGCAAACATTTCTCAGGTTATAACAAGTGCTAAACCATGATCTACTTGTAAATTGCTACAAATTTCAACAAGTGTTTAAACAACATACTTAGTTTTTACCTCAACCTGTAAATTGCTGCAAATTACAACAGATGATCACATGTCGGCTTAACATTATCTTGTAAATTGCTACAAATTTCAACAAGTGTTAAGTATCTTTTTTGGTTGGACCAACCTGTAGATTGTTATAATTGTGCAAACTATAATCTTGGCTTCACTTCGACTTGTAAATTGCTACAAATTTCAACAAGTGAAGAGAAACAGTAATCTCGGCTTAACTTCAATTTGTAAATTGCTACAAATTTCAACAACTGAAGATAAGGAATCAGTTTAACTCCAACTTGTAAATTGCTACAAATTTCAACAAGTGAATTAAGGAATAATGCTTAATTCCAACTTGTAAATTGCTACAAATTTCAACAAGTGAATTAAGGAATAATCTCGGCTTAACTTCGACTTGTAAATTGCTACAAATTTCAACAAGTGAAGATAAGGAATCAGCTTAACTTCAATTTGTAAATTGCTACAAATTTCAACAAGTGAATTAAGTGTATCTGTCTTCTCTTTGCCCCCAATGTGAACCTGAGTTCTACTTGGGTTCTCATTATTTATGTCTCTAAAAGCACCAATATGTAACTTCATCAATTATATGTGTTTTAAAGAAAAGGGAAAAGCTTTAATTGATGACATCGGCCAAAAATACTGCACATCTAATGATAGAAGAATTTCAAATTACAAGTGTTCAAAGGTCTTGGCAGTGCTTTGCCCTCGTTATCTTCAAGCCGATAAGCTCCATTGCCTAATACCGAAGTAATTCTGTAGGGTCCTTCCCAATTTGGGCCAACCTTGCCCTCTCTAGGATCTTTCTTGTTGCTGATGACTTTTCTCAGGACTAGGTCGCCGACTTGAAAATCTCTTGGATTGACCTTCTTGTTGTAAGCTCTAGCAAGCTGTTGCTGGTATGCTGCGAGCTGAATTGCAGCTTTCTCTCTTCGTTCTTCTAAAAGATCCATACCTCGGGCTAAGAGTATGTCATTGGTGTTCTCTACTCCCTGGGTTCTGATCCCTAGGATGCCGATGGGATGACTGCTTCTGTGCCATAAGCCATGGCAAAGGGGGATTCCCCTGTTGATCTTCTCGGCATAGTCCGATATGCCCAAAGTACGTTGGGCAACTCGTCTACCCACTTTCCTTTTGCTGCCTGCAGCCTGTTCTTTATTCCATCCAAAATTACTTTGTCAGATGCTTCTGCTTGCCCATTGCTTTGGGGAAAACTTGGTGTTGAAAAGTAATTCTTGATCTTGAAATTCGTACAAAAGTTCTTGATGAGTTTGCTGTCAAACTGCGTTCCGTTGTCGGCTACTATTGCTCTTGGAATCCCAAATCTGGTGATGATGTTTCTCCATATAAAGTTCTTGACGTCCACAACTCGGATTTTGGCAAGAGGTTCTGCCTCTATCCACTTCGTAAAGTAATCTGTTGCTACCAGCAAGTATTTTCTCTGCCCAGTTGCCTGGGGAAGTTGCCCAACAAGATCCATGCCCCATTGGGCAAACGACCAAGGGCTGGATATTGGGTTTAGGTCAGCTGCTGGCTGATGTATCAAAGGTGCAAACTTTTGGCATTGTTCACACTTCTTCACGTAGGCTTTAGCATCCTTTTGCATGTAGGGCCACCAATACCCCTGGGTAATGGCCCTGTGGGCTAAAGATCTGCCCCCAGTATGGCTTCCAAAAATTCCTTCATGAATTTCATATAGGAAATCTTCAACCTGCAAAGGGTGTATGCACCTTAAAAGGGGTCCAATGAAGGACCTTTTGTAGAGGTGTCCATCTTCTGTCAGACTGAATCTTGTTGATTTCAATCGGACTTTGTGTGCCTCCTTACGATCTTCCGGCAGCTTTCCTTCTTTCAGGAATGCAACAATTGCATCCATCCAGCTTGGCCCCATGGCCACACACATTGCTTCTTGCTCTATGCTCTCTGGTTCTATGCTTGAGCCCGACATATAGTCGATCATAATTGTTCTTGTTTTTCCAGTCTGCATTGAACTTGCCAGGTTAGCCAACGCGTCGGCGTGGGCGTTGTCATCTCGGCTAACTTGAAGTAATCGGCAGTTCTGAAATAGGGCTGCTAATCTGATGACCTCTTTTGCGTATGCCGACATCCTTTCGTCTCTGGCTGCAAATTCTCCTGTTGACTGGTTAACAATAAGTTGTGAATCACAAAAAAATAATTACCTCATCTGCTTCTGCTGCTACTGCCAGTTTTAGCCCTGCAATTAATGCTTCGTATTTTGCTTCGTTGTTTGAGGCCTTGAACCCTAAACGGATGGACTGTTCTATAATTTCTCCATCTGGAGATATCAGCAGTACTCCTGCCCCCGCTCCTTGTCGGTTCGAACTTCTATCGATAAACAGTCTGAATGAGTCGCCGATGTAGATGCTGCAGGGTCTGAGTTTTTCCTTCCTTTGCTCTTTTGCCTTTGGCTGGGATTCTCCTTGCTTGTTGGGACAATTCTTATCCTGGCTCAACGGAACCTGATGTTCAATGGTTTCGGGCGTGAATTCTGCCACGAAGTCGGCTAAAACTTAGCCTTTAATTGCTATTCTCGGCCTGAACTCCAGGTCATACTGACTCAGGGCTACTGCCCATCTTGCTATCCTTCCTGTTAAGTCTCCTTGTTGCAACAAGGACTTCAGTGGATGCTCTGTTAGGACCACAATCTTGTGCGCCTGAAAGTAATGGTTCAACTTCCTTGAAGTCGTTACTAAGGCTAGTATTAATTTCTCTAGTGGTAGATACCTTGTTTCTGCGCTGGCCAAGGTTTTGCTTACATAGTAAATAGCCTTTTGCTCCCATTTTTCTTCTCGGATTAGTACTGCACTGACTGCGTGTTCTGAAACTGCCAAGTACAAAAATAGTTCTTCCCCTGGTTCTGGATTGGAAAGAACCGGAGTTGTGGTCATGTACTTCTTTAGGTCGGTCAAAGCGGCTTTGCATTCTTCTGTCCACAGAAAGTCTGTGGCTTTTTTCACCAAGTTGAAGAAGGGTTTGTACTTATCTGAGCTTCTGCTGATGAATCTGTTTAGGGCTGCGGCCCTTCCAGTAAGCATCTGAACCTGTTTTGCCGACGTCGGGCTCTTCAGCTCTAGGATGGCCTTGATTTGGTCTGGGTTGGCCTCAATGTCCTTTCTTGTTACCAGACACCCTAAAAACTTACCTGATCCAACTCCAAACACGCACTTGATGCGTTGAGTCGGAGCCGGTATGTTTTGAGTATATCAAAGACCTCTTTTAGGTCGGTAAGATGACCCTTAGATTTCTTGGTCTTCACGACCATGTCATCGACGTAGACTTCTACCGTTTTTGCCAATCAGGTGCTTGAACATCTTTGTTACTAACCTTTGGTAAGTTGCTCCTACGTTTTTCAACCCAAAAGGCATTACCTTGTAACAGTACAGGCCTTTAGAGGTGATGAACGCGGTCTTCTCCTCGTCTGGAGGGTACATAGCAATCTGGTGGTACCCCCTGTATGCATCTAGAAAACTCATTCTTTCATGCCCTGAAGTAGCATCTACTAGCTGGTCAATCTTGGGTAGAGGAAAGCTGTCTTTGGGGCAGGCTTTGTTGAGGCTGGTAAAGTCTACACAGACCCTCCATTTGCCGTTCTTCTTCTTCACCACTACTGTGTTGGACAGCTATGTCGGGTAGTGAACTTCTCGGATGGCCCTGGCCTCCAGAAGTCTGTCTACTTCTTCTTCTACTGCTTCGACGTGCATCAACGTCGGTCTTCTGGCTCGTTGAATCACAGGTTTTGCCGACCTGTCGATATTCAGTCTGTGGCAAGTGACCTCGGGGTTAATGCCAGGCATTTCGTAAGGTGTCCAGGCGAACACCTCTATGTTTGTTCTCAAAAAATCTTCCAATTCTCTTTCCTCTTCTTCGGCTAAGCCTGACCCGAGAAGAAAGAAGCGCTCTTTGTCGCCCTCCTGGACGAGGATTTTTTTT